TAGCAGATTTTTCTTGTTTAACTAGCGAAGGGCAAGCAAAAGATGAAAACAAAAAACAACTGAAATTAAGCGCAACTCGATAATCCGCAGTATGTTCTAAAGTATTTATGACATTTCAGTCTAATAGTAAGAACAAGAGCTACAACAAAGGGTTGAGATGGCCACTCAAAACAAATCAATTCCGCTACATTGTAAAATGATAAAATGCGGTTCCCAAAGTTTCTGCAGCCTAAATGTACGATTAGAAGGTACTTCTCTACAAGTAACCAAAGCTCTAAGGCTTTTTAAAACTATTTAGTTGACATGCTTATTAGTGTTTGTGTGTGTTCTGGGGTTTAATGATTAGAAATTCCCACCATCGAGATAACACGGCAAGGAACGGCAAGTATTTACGTTGTTATGGAGACTACTCAACCCCAAGCCCCACGCGTAATTGACACCAAAATCGCGAGAAGAATGGGGAGGGGAGTAATGTTTCTTTGTCATTTGTGGTTGGTTTTCGTCGTGCAATTGAGCTTTCCAGTTTTGTGGCATTGATAAATTTTGTCTTTTTTTGAAATACTCTGTTAAGGACAAAGGAAGATTGAAAGGAAACTAATGGTAAAAATGCTTATAGGTATAAATCTAAGAGAAACGCGAGGAAAACAAGCCAAGGCTAAATTCAGTACCAGTCCTCCAACAGCAGCGAAACGTAGCAGTCGTAAACCTGCCAAAGAACCGACACCACAAGTGAGACGACGAATACCAAGACAACTTACTCCGTTAGAAACAATGCAGGTAAATGACACGCTCTTGTTGCCGATATGTTGTAAAATAAACCTTTTCTTTTTCAAACCCAACTCAAACTTTATTAAGGTGAAATGAGAACAAAAGTATTCAAGGAATTCAACCAATGTTGTCGATTTCACTAGATCCAAGGGGCTACTCCCTGGGATTCTTGGCGAGGATATGACACCCTGGGGAGGTGTTATTCTAAAGCGTCTAAGAGTTACTTTTTTTTTCTTATTTGCAACGAAAACCATTTAATTTTATGGAAAAACGATAAATCTTATTCCTGCTACTAGCAATGCATTACTAAGGTGCATAGCAATTTATATATTAAGTGATGGAGTCAAGAAGGAGCTCCTTAACTTTGCAAAGGAACATTGTTTTGATATTCTGTTGGTCAAATCCTCGTCAAGTTTTTCACCAAGCTTTTATAAATCGTATTGTAACAAACAGGTCTCCAAGGATGAGAAAGAACCACGCAACGAAACCTCGGCCAGTGATTCATCATCTGCAGCTAGGACAGATGAAATCACGCCAGATTTTGAGTGTAACATTGCGCGCGTGGAAGATGAAGATCTCATGAGAGGAGCGTAATCAAACATGAGTGGAAGTGAATATGGAGACGACTTTGAACGATATTCGGTCTCCAGCGATGAACAAACACTGCCGAATGTACCGCCATGGCTAAGAGAAGCAGTCGAGTAAGATTTAAGTCTGTTAACTATATTATTATAGGAAAATTGAGGCGTTCTTGCACATTTGATGTGCTTCATGTTGTGTTTTAATGATCGCATAACGATCAAAAGCATCCAGGCGTCAAACAAAGTGATACAATCATCCAACCACAGACAAACACTCGTAACGATCCTAACCGTCGTGACGATAGACAGGCCAACAAGAGCAGAGAATTCGCCCCCGCCCCCTCAAAAGCAAAAGTTCTCATTTGTGAAATTTACTTTTTATCTATTACAGGGAACAAAAAGCGGCGAAACTGGCCCAAAATGAAAAGTGAGTATTATTTTCTTGTAGCCGTGCAAGTTCATGACCTTTTCAAAGAAGTGAAATATGAAACGATCCTCGCATACGGCTAGCGCACCTGAAATTTGAATTGACCATTCAGGATTCAGGCAGCAAGCGGGAAAAACTTTAACTGTCCTGACGTCAATGTAAGTTATTGAAATCGTCAATGTAAGGTATTGAAATCGGGCAACTTTTGTCACTGGAGATGGCATTAAATATTCACGGAAAGGGATTTACATTTCTAAAAACCATAACAGATTGTAAAAAGTGAAAAATACGGAACATTTTGTGTCTCCAAGCTTCTAATTTGGCGCCAAAAGTGGGTCGCCGGCGTCCGCATGGCAAATCGCTTGTAGTTCGTCGAGTGTCGCCAGGTAGGATAATACAGTGTGTTATTTTGAACAAAATATGCTGTTCCTCGTCAAATTGAGCCCGGAATTCTCAAGTAAACTCAGTATTAGAAGAGGCCAAAGCAACGTTTAGCATAGTCTTTATTTTTGTTAGCTGCGAAGAAAAAAGCTATTACCGTGTCGTTTCGGTAGGACAGCTCAGTGTTGACTGCCGCTTGTACTGCGGGCGCAGCCGTCGTATGCAGGGATATCTGTCATGATCTCTGAAACTTTCAACTCTTAACTTTAATTTTAATTTTCAGGATTTTTCTGAGTTTCGAATTGATTTTAAAATCGACGATTCGACAAATTTAACTGGCCTTCTTCAGGTATGAAGAATTAAAATTAATATCAACCTTGCAGAAAGAATCGGGAAAAACAGAAAACAACTTTTCATTCCAAAAAACTATACGAAAAATTTTCAAAAATAAGGAATTACATAAACTAAACTTCAGAAGCGAAACATGTACCAACAAGAAGAATGTATTTTCAATTAAGGAACGCCTCAAAAAGTGCCAATGCTGCCACGATTGAGCTTGGTGCTGGCCATAAAGACATCCAGGAAGACCTAACAGTTACTTCGTATCCGGCTCCAAAAGATATCTGCACTGACTTCGCGGCGGACGAGTTGGACAAAATAATTGCCGACCTGAGTGTCATGAACGCTGACATGACAGACGAGGAGCATGGTGATGCAATGGCGTCTTTGTTGTTGCTACGCGACGAGGCCAGGTATGCCCGGAGTGATGCCCTGAATGATTTTATGTGAACCCAGTTACGAAGAAGTCAATAACACCGCAAAAATGGCTACAGAAGTATTCTTTCCAAAGTTTATGAATTTTTTGAAAAGCTGTATGTATCGTATGCCCATTTCATTTACATATTTTTACTTAAACGATTTTACTATATACAGCATACTTTTTAAAATAAGCCTTAACAAGCCTTAGAACGTGAAACAATGTTATGTAATCTCATGAAGCTGTGTGTTTGAAGTTGATAAAGGTCAATTAACCACCATAGTGAATTTGTAAGAGCTGACGTTTTGAGCGCTAGCTCTTTTGCTGCTGTGAAACTCAGAGGGAGACCGGCCGCTAGAAACCTCAGGGTCGTCAAATTCTCCAGGGCATAATCTTCCTTTACCAATTTCTAAGTGTTTCACTGCACTGCCGATGCAGCACAGAAGGTTTTCTAGAGCCCTTTTGTTTCGTTTGCTAATGGAACAATT